GAAAAATGAGTCTTTTAACTAATTAATTACAAGTAAGTGCGAATTTCTGTCATCGGTGCCCGTGGAAATTTTCACTTAAGAAAAAATGTTGTAAAAAACTTTAGAATACATTTTAAAAATATTCTTCCTTAGTGTCAAATTTTTCATATCGTATAATGTAGGATGATGTTATAAATTGAAAAACTGTTTTCTTTTCGAAAGAAAACGATTAATGATTGATGATTTAATAAACATTCTTTCAAATTTAAAAAATTAAGCGAAATTAAAATATTTTTTTTAGATTCCATTCACTTTAAATTTAATAGTATGAATTTTTGTAACGAATAAAATTCGAATCAAAATATGCTCCCATCTTATATTCCAGTTTTAGTTTATCCTCTTAATTAGGCTAATTTTGACGGTGCAGCATGACGATTGGAAGGGACAGATGATATTGTAAGTGACCAGCAGCAAATTTCATGATTCTAATTAATTGTGTTCTGATTAATTAATACCTGATTCAAAGTTCAATGCATTTTTTTAAATCATAAGGACATATGTATATATGTTTGTATTAAATTAAATGCTCAGAAATTTAACTCTTAAAGTTGCTAATAAAGTTCATTTTTTTAAAATGTGTATATGATGCTTTCTTTGGTAGAGAAAAAGAAATTGTTTTTGGAATAAGTGAGAGAGAAAAGGAAATGAATAAAAAAATAATGAAATGAATTATAAGTGCACTAAAAAAGTGCACTTATAATTCATTTCATTATTTTCAAAATTAGGATTTTAGAAGCTAAAAAATGATATTTATTAAAGTAAAAAGAAGGAAAAGGAGTATTAATTTCCGTGATTGAATTAAATGGCTCAAAATTATTTGAAAGCTCTTTTTTATATTAATTTTTAAATATTCATTAAAGAAGAAAACAGTGAAATAAATTAGAAAATGAGGAAAAAAAGTAATAAAATTATTAATGAATGTAAAAATTTGTAAATACTAAAAAGTTTATTTATAAAAATTTGTGAATATTTTTATTTTTATAAGCAAACGCTCAATCATTAGTAGAATGATTGATTGTCATTAATAATTTTGATAATAATTAGGTGAAGCATTCGAATAATCTAATAATAACATTTAAAGTAACATACATCTCATTTATATTAATTGAACAAATGTTATCCAATAGTGCTTTTTGACTTGAAAATTAATAAGTGATGATATTTAATATGAAATAGATATCATAAGCTGTAAGAATTCTAAAGCTAAAATCCATCATTATGCAATATCCATCACATTATCATTTTACATTTTATATTTCATCACCAAACATTAGAAGAAGAAGAAGTTATAAATTCCTTCAAATGAACTGTTAATTGAGGAAAAATGAAATGAGATCAAAGATTAAACAATATATGAAATGTGGTGATATTGTTCAAAAGTACCTTTTTGTTTTGTTTTTTCCAACTTATTTTCTTTGTTTTTATTTTAAACAAAACGTAGCTTTAAAAAAATGATCTGTTGGATGAATAGGAAAAGAGACCATAAAGTGTAATAATTGTGAGGAAAAGTTTATGAATAATTAAAATAACAGAAAAGGCGATAGGTTAAAATTTTGAAAAATTTATCAATATATCGATAAAATAATACAAAATGAACATTTATTAAAGGGAAAGAGGAAATAACTTCAAAGTACGTAAATGTTTATACGTGTAAAAATGTCGAATGATAATTTTATATGTATTGTTTATTTTAGTTACGAAGTACGTTGATCACGATATTATGCGCAATATTTCAATCGATAGCACTGTTATGGTATTATTTTTTCTTTAATGTTTCTTTCAATTTTCAAAAGTTAATAAAATTTAGGAGTTATTTAAGTTAAAAATTTTTGAATTCACGGAATATTTTGTTAAAATTTTGAACAGTTAAATGAATTGAGGTTAATAATTTTTAGAAAGAGAGAGAGAGAGACATGAAACTGGAAATTGTCAGCTTATTTCGAATGATTATTAAATTAGAGTTTGCACTTTTATTATTAGAATACTGATCACTATTTTACTTTAATAATACTCTAATTTGAATTGATTCATATCTCGATAAATTTATCAAAACTTAAATGTGAAATGCAACAGGAAAACATAACATCCATTTGTTTTCTTATTTATTTGCATGCTTTTTCAAAATGGAATAGAACAAAAAAAAAAAAATCTAAACTTATTCATTTTAGGTATGTGCTTAGCTACGCGCCAGGTGGTGAACGTGGCTTACGATTTATGGCCTATTTGTTGAAAGGATTTTGTATTTCCAAGTCAACAACTGTACTGCCTATTTGATGTTATTCACATATTGTTGTACTTACACATGTAAATTGTTTATAAAACCTATTGACCTTCAAATTCAATGTTATGCATATAAACAATGAGGTTTATAAAATAATCTGAAATATATCATAGCTGAAAATGATATTGAACATTTGCTTTTTACCTTTATTTTCCTTCTTCATATCATCGTTTTATTTTCATTCTCTGGTTAATAATACAATCATCAATTGAAATGTTTTTTTTTTTTTTTTTGATAAGTTAAATCTTATAGAGTTATTTCCACTTGCATTTATAAAAATTGAGCAGAAAAAAGTTAGAGATTTTAAATTTTGATGCAATAATTAAAACATCATAAAATTATTCGATGTTTCTCTGACATTCACCATTACAGTATAGATGATCTATTCAATAATTTATTGCTTAAAGTTACCAAACTTATTTAATTTATTTATTGCCTTTGCATTAGTCATTTCATCAAAACTTCGAATTTGATTGCATTTTTAAATCGCCTCCAAATCTAACTAATTTTTTTTTATGGGAAGCAAAAATAAAGTGGTTCGGTCAATTATTAATGAAATTTTTACAAGATTTTTTCATACAAACGAAGGAAAAATAGCGTTTTTTGAAAGCTATCGCTTATATTTTATTCAAAATGGTTTAAATCGTTTTTTTTTTTTGTTTTCAGGTCTAGCAATGCTTTTTTTTTAATGAAAATAACCGAAGAAAAAGAAAAAAGAATATGCAGTACACAAATGCTAATAATTCATAACTGGCTCATTTTACTAGAAATTCATAAAATAAGCGAGAATTATTTTAGCATACTTTAAACACCTTTAAATAGCATTATTATTCAATATATTTTCAGAATTTATTTTAATGCTTTATATATCATCCAAGAAATTTCCACGAAACTGCAGTCATTTTATTATCTCATTTAGAAATTAGCGAAATAATTATAAAACTGTTATCCTTTTTCAATAAAATAATTTTTTCAAAGAAGAAAAAAATTGAAAAATAAAACATTCAGAAATTAATTGATTTTATCATATAAAAAATGCTCAACCCCAATAATTTTAATGAGAAAGGAAAAAAGATTACTTATTGATTGAATATTATTTATTGATTGAATGAATGTAAAATTAAATAATTGGTTATAAATGCAGTCAATGCATTTAACAATTTGAAATATTTGACAATGTTATCATCACTTATCCACTCTATCACCAATGATAATCTTTTCTGCTTGGGAATTGTTTCATTCGAAATTTTAAAATTTTAATTTAGTCCCAGTGAATTTAAGAAGTAAAAAGGGTATAAGCAAAAATAAGATAAAGAGTAAGAGAGAGGGGAGATAAGTTTGATTTTTTAAATCATTATGAATTATAAACAAATTTTCATTTCGGTTCCTTGGAGAATGAAAGTTCAATTTCTTTTCTCAATCCAGAAATTCCTTGTTAAATGAATTTATCCAGGAATAATTTCTTCGTTAAATTCATTTCTCATCTGTTAATAACGTCAAATGATTAACAAAAACCAATGATTATTTCTTAAAAAAAAAAAAAAAACTAAAAAGAAAAAAATAAAAGAGAAGAAAAAATACATTCTTCTATGAATGCTAATCCGAATTCACTCTCAGCAAGAAACTCTTTTTTTCNNTTTTTTTTTGAAAGCAATTCTGTTCAATGATCGACAACACATTCTTCTTAAGTAATGGAAAAAAAAGAGCAATTTTCACTGACAAATTTTTGTTTAACTAAAAAATGAAAATGATACAATCTTTTTTCCTTACCATTTAAAATTTCTTTTAAATAAATATAATTCAATGAATAAGGGATTGTATTGCTATTATTAATATCCATTATTACCGATATTTGAGAGAAAGAAAAGAAAGACAAAAAGTAGAAACGAAACTTCCCGTTAAATAATCTAATCGAAACGAACAATTCTGATAATTCGTATAACTTATTTATCATGATTGCGAATAATTTCAAAAAAGAAAACCTTTTTTCTAAAAATCATCATATTTCAAAAATGGTAGTTTATCATAATTTAACATATCTGTAAAAATTAATAATTTAGTATTTGGTTTAAGACTATGTAGGACAGTTTGAAAATTCGTTGTTGAATTTTTATGATTTCCATCCTCTTGAACTAATAATTTTTGCGGGGTGATAAAAGAAAACATTGAAAAATTTTTTTAATTTCTTTTTTTTTCACTTTTGTCATTAAAAGTCATCATAGTTACTGAAAGATGCAAAAATTTCCTTAGAGCAATCTTTTTCGTCTTTTTTCCAAGAAAATATGCTTTTAAATTACTTTTAAAATATGCTTTTAACTCTATTCTTGTGACATCATACTATAAATTATATCTTTAATTAGCATAAAATTTTAAAACACTCAATAAATCGTCAATTTTTATTCAATAAAATTATCCATGTTATTTTAATTAAAAGAAAGAACAGAAATATTGTTTCAAAATTTTAGCAAATATTTCAAAAAATTGAAAAAAAAAATCAAAAAAAGAGCTTTGTTGGTAAATTACTTTAAAAAGTCAAAAAAAAAATATTGCAGAAAAAATTTTTTTAGCAATTAAATATTAAGCAAAATCATTCATAATCAAAGGAATATCAATAAATATGTGCGATTCATTCATTGTATTTATTATCATATTTATTAGTGATATATGAATATTGCTTATTTTAATCAATTTCATCAAAATCAATTATAGCACCTTTCCAAACCGGAAATGTATCGATGGCACCGGTTTTTGGATCCATATAGGAATAAATTTTGTGATATTTTACGAGAGCTGACAATGTTGCAAATGAGGAAGGCCTTGGATCACCATATAGTACACGCCATGATTCCCTACCAGTCCATTTATCTATTGTACACGCTATTGGAAAATGATAAATCTAAAAATAATTTATTTTCTTTTTTAAGATTGTATTAGTTGATAATTCGTATTAATAATTTTTTTTTTCCATTTTTTTCTAAATCAATAAATTTGATTTGATTTGAATTATTTTATCATGTATTTTGTTGATTTTTAAGACAATTGATTAATTACCTTCCCTACAGCACTCATATAAGCCAAACAAAGCGGAATACGAATGGGTATAGCATTTTCGTTTGAGGATGGTATCTGATAATAAAGTCGAAAATCATTTTGACGAAGTAATTTCGATACTGCACTTATTGTTTGTGCACCTCAATTTTTAATATATTTTAATTCAATTCCAAAACAAATTTTAATTTAGCAAATTTTACTCCTCACCAAGTAAATGGAGGATAGTGATTTTAATCGAAAATATTCTTTTTTTTTTTTTTAATTCTCTATTTGAGTCATTTTATTTCATTACAAAGCTCATAAATTACTCCCTAAATAACTGATAAACATTGAAGCAAAATCAAATTTACGTTTGCTATTTTTTGATTTTTAGCCTAAGCAAAAATTTATGAGCTTAAAAAAATATTACATCACAAAAATTTTCTCAAAATATACCATTGTTAACATAAAATAACATTTAGCCTTAAAAGAATGAAAGAAGAAAAAAATATCACACTGTTATCAATTAGCAAAAGAAAGCAAAGAATGAAGGAATGATGAGAATTTCGGAAATAAATAAACTCATTTATCCTTCCCTCTTTTCCTCACCGATAATCTTAAAATTTTAAAGTCGCTAATTGATAGGCTGTTTTAAAGATGCTTTATGATGTTTTGCTCTTCGAAAGTATTAAATGCATTACATTTGATAGTCATTGTTGATGAAAAAAATAAAAATAAAAATAAAGCGCGAAATTGTTTAACAATAAATTGAATTACATTCAATGCTTTCCAATTGTCAATTATATGAATTTGTTAAATGTGAAAAGAGAAGTGAAACAATAAAAGATGCATATGAATGAGTAAAGCATTAACAGATATCAATCTCATATACATGATTATTTTTTAAGGACTGTAAAGGATATTAGAAAGAATTTTAAATTATTCAAATTAAAAAAAAAAAATTACTCACCGACAAATAAATAATTGTCATCTTCATTATTTTCAATTATTTCATCAGATCTTGCCTAATATATGAATATCAAACCACAAAAAAATTTCTGTTTTTCATATGCATATTGTGTCAGATTTTCGAATAAATTAAACTATTTAAATTTGCATATTAGATTCAAACGATTGAGGAATTTCATTAAAAGATGCATTTATTACATTTAATAATACACTAATTTTTTTTTTTTTTGGAACTGTTACTGAAATATGCAATTATTGAATAAGATAGATGATACCAATAATTTTTTTTTTCATTACTTCAAACTTAAATTTGCAAAAATTTAAGGTTTAGCTGACCTTTTCAGTTGGATAATTACGGGGAGTACTCGTCATATGACCTTCTGTTTTTTGAGGATATACTTTATCCCTCAAAATGAAATGCAAACTGTTAGTGATTAAAAATATTATTATTATTTCATTACAAACACCTATTTTGTTCTGCTTTTTTTTGCCCTAATTTTTCCATTTCATTAAGCATTTTCTTTTTATTTCCCTTTGCTTTTTTTGCTGCTTCCTTAAAATTTTGTCATCAATGTTTTACATAGGAAAAAATAATAAGATAATCATTACTAATATTTATTATAAAAAGTGATATCATTTATTATCGCCTACCGTTTTATAATAACAACATTACCGTCATTTTTTTCTAATTAATTAATTAGCTAATCTAATTAATCCACATACATGCATATTTTATCTTTTGATCGGTGCTGTTGATGAGAGCCTTTGCTAGACCGTTTAATACGTGATGATAAATTATTTTCCTATGAAATTGCATATTTTTTTTAATAAACTTTTTTCATATTTCTTTCAAAATATACGTAAAATGTTAGATAATTTTCAAAAAAAAAAGTTAATTCTTGATTTTTTTGGAGAAGAAAGCAATCATAAAAGTTAGGTTTGGTAGTGGGTATTAATTTCTCTTAAACATAAAATTTGCAATACATTGCTTTCTTCCGCATATCCATCAAATTGTGGACGATTTGGCCATTCAACTTCATAGTTATCGTTCAGCTGTCGAAAAAAAAAAAATCAAACTTTAAATTAAAAAAAAAAAAAAAACAAAAATGATTAATAATTTTTTTGATGTCAAACATGGAAAAATTACTGTTTTTTTTTTTATATCGTTGTTAATTTAATTTAAATCCTAAATATTTGCTTACAATAAATAACGTTTTAGAAAAATATTGCACAAAAAAGAGAAAGTAAATATGAAAATTGTTAAAATCATTTAAAAGAAATTTTTGAGTATAAAATTTATTTGCTAATAATTCGAATGTTAAATACTTTCCAATGTTTGATTTATATATTCCAAATAATTAATAATTCACTGTACCAATCGTCTATCTTTTGCTTCATGTGCCAGATAGTCTGGCGCTGTTTGTGAATATTGTGCTAATGGCTCATAACCACTTCAAAAAAAAAAATGAATAAATAAATATCATATATTTAAAATAATTAAAACTAATTATGGCACATATACTATCACTCCAATTCAGTATAAATTAATGATTGTATATAAAAGATAATTATAATCATACTTTCGTCTTATTGAATCCGATTCAAATTGCTCCTTTCCTTTAGAATGATACATTAGCAAAATCAAATATTACAACTGTACAATATCGTGGCGTAACCGTTCTCTAACCATAAAATCTGCAAATATACTCAAATAATAAAAAATTCACTTTAAATAGTTACGCTTAATTAATACGTAACACGTTTTTATTACAAAAGAGAAAAATTTTGCATATTATCGTTACTTATGCCTATAATATTTTTTTAATTATTCTTTTCTTTTTTTTTTGAATTAAACTATGAGTGAATTTTAATAAGACCAAGAAAAAAATAGTATTAAATCATTTTTATAAAAGTATCACGAACTGATAGGTTTGATTTCTGCACTAACTTTCTCTCCAAATTTTTAATGCATAAATAAGGTGATTTAACTTAGGCCATTTAATTTTTTTTTTTTTTGTCCTGTAACGGATCTCTGTTATTTGACCATTCATGGATTTTATTAAAATTTAAATCAATAATTTTTTTGAACGATATTAACTTAAGTGTGCAAAGAATTGTGAACAAAAGAAAAAATACACATTAGTAAACTGATGATAATAAATAACAAATGTGTTGAAAGTGTTTTTAAAAAGTTGAAATTGAAGTGATAGCAATCAATAGCATAATACTATGAAATGCAAAAACTGAAACTAAGCACTAATCTTTTCAGAGTAAACATACTCTTAAATTCATTTTTGAATCTAATCTGACTGCTACTTAAGCTAAGATTGAAGGAAAAAAAAGGAAAATATATGCAAAGAAGGAATGAAAATAAAATATATAAAAAATATATGGAAGAGAAAATTTTTTGAAAACATGCAAATTGAATAATTTTTATAGAATGTCGGAAAAGAAAGGAATTCTGTCGTGCGGTGGCAGTCAACAGGCTCATGTAAAAATAATTGCCGACGAAAAAGCACAAAATTTACAGCCTATATCTCCACCACCACCACCTTCATCGGTATTTCATCCTTATCTAATATGAATTAAAATTATGACCCTAATAAATCTTTATTTGATATAAACTATCATTATAAAATGATAACTTATCATAATTCATATTTTCTATAATAGCTGAGAGTAATATACTTAGGATTAAATTGTATTATTACTCAAATCATTTTGATAAAGTGCTAAAAAGATTCCAAATAAACTATTTTATATTTTCAAATTGTAAGACAATTAAAAATTAGGAAAAGAAATTCTATTATTGCAATAAGTTCCACTTGTTTATTTCAATGTACTTTATTTTTGAAAAATAAGCTTTATTTGGCAATAGAATTGTTGCGTAGAATAAATTTTGCATGACTTGGTTAAAAAATTACATTACAACAATTCTATATGGTTGTTAGAAATATATTAGCAATTAAAAATGTATTACTTTGTCATTATTACTGTATAAAATTTAAAAATATCCTTTTAAAAAAAGGGAAGAAAAACGAAATCATTTTTCCTTTTTAATTTCATTTTTCTTTTCTGCTTTCGAAAAATTTTACAACACATTCGATGGTTAAAAACAAACAAGTATTCTTTTTCGAATAAGAATATATGCTTTTATTTTGAAAAATTTTTAAAATGCTAAAATTTTACTTTTTTAGTGCTTTATATTTAAATACTGATATTCTTACACAGATAACAGCTCCAAAAGTAAACTTTGGTGCAAAGGATGAAATTGAATTGCTGCGAGAGGGTGCTAAAAATATTCATGGCCAACAGATAAAGAAGATTTAAACGATTTGATTCAATTTAATCATTCCGATATGCATACATTCATTCATTACTTTACCATAAATCATTAATGATATCCAATGATCAAATCAGAAACTAAAAGCTTATATTTAGCTAAATTAGTCTTTGGAATAATTTAAAAATTGTGAATTTTTTTAAAACTATTGAAAAATGAGTATTATATCGATTCAGCATACGATTAATTTATTGGTTTAAGTTTTTACATACTTCAGTATTTTCAACAGAACCAAACCGTTACTAATATAAATTGTGCACAAAGTACACATTAAAATAAATTAAAGTATCTTTGCTTATATTATAATTAAATATGTTTATATTTAATTCTTCATTTTAAAGATATAAATTGTGTCAAAAAATATGAAACAAATAAAATTTGTATGATTATAAATTTTTGTTGATCGCGTTATCGGTTTGATTTCCGAATTTATTCATTTCACGCTAAAACAATGAGTGGAATTTCAAAAATATAATATTACAATTTTTTTTTTGAATAGCAAGAATCGACCAGTATTTTAAAATAATTTCAAAGGATAAATACATCATTTATTGGTATATCACTCAGTCTTTTGTCCTTTCCTATCATTCTCACTAAATATCAGTTATATAGAAGCAAAATTATTAATCTACTTTACTACTACAAATTTGGATTTGG